TTGATCGGCGCCTGGACATGGGAGTATCGGCACTTCAATCCGGGGTACAGCAAGTGAACCACGGTTCAAGATGAGGTTGTGCAGCTAAGAAGCTTGGCCTTTTCCCGGTAGTTGGAAATGTCGTAACCACCCGGCCAAGCAAACCAAACAACAGCCGAGTCGTTGACGAACAAGACTAGCGAAAGCCAGGTGCGTTGATGAGTGTCCTCCGAAAGGTAGCAGGGACTAAACTAAACGTTTAAGCGTGCCAATAGTTAACAAGACCCTGGCCAGATTCTCAGGGCCCGATAGGCTTCAGCAAGGCCAGCCTCCGTTCGCGACAACCACTGCAAGGATTCTCAAACACGGACTAACGAAAATGGAAGCTCGATAGAACCGTCGACGTCCGTGACCGAGCCGCATTACGGAGCCCATCGATCACTTCATTCAGCCTGAATGCATTCGGAGCCTCCTTCATTTATCCTTCTGGCACGAAAAGCTGGGGTAGAGTGGCGTTATGTAACCCAAACTCGGGTTGGGCGATCGGACTAAGCATGAGCTTGTCGTGATGGAAACAACCCTATCCGAGACCACCTCCATGGACTACGCTCAATATGTTGCATAACAACCGCAAAGTGTCTGGTCCTTGGCATCAGAAGGAAGCAAGATGGACAGAGTCGCCATGATGGCAACCCTGAGGACGAGCAGGGACGACAACAATCTAGCCCGGAGATTCGGTTGGACTGCCTAAACTGGTCCTGCCGATCGAAAGCGACGACAAGGAGCTCGAGAGACGGATATATAAGACCTTCACGATGGTCCTGTTTCGACTTTTGTTTATCCTCTCACCATCGCCAATCGATCAGCCATCCTCTTCCTTCGAGTTTCAGATATATCAGACACCACAATGGTCTCCATCAAGTCCCTCCTCCTCGGCGCCGCCGGTGCCCTCGCCGTCCCCTTCAACGCCACCGAGTTCTCTGAGCTCAACATCCGCGCCGGCACCCCCAGCAGCACCGGCACCCACAACGGCTTCTACTACTCCTTCTGGACCGACGGCGGCGGCACCGTCAACTACGCCAACGGCAACGGCGGCTCCTACACGGTGAACTGGTCCAACGTCGGCAACTTCGTCGGCGGCAAGGGCTGGAACCCCGGTTCCGCTCGCACCATCACCTACTCGGGCTCCTTCAACCCCTCCGGCAACGGCTACCTCGCCGTCTACGGCTGGACCCGCAACCCCCTCGTCGAGTACTACGTCGTCGAGAACTTTGGCACCTACAACCCTTCTAGCGGTGCCACCCGTCTCGGATCCGTCACCACCGACGGTGCCACCTACGACATCTACAAGACTACCCGCGTCAACCAGCCGTCCATTGATGGCACCGCCACCTTCAACCAGTACTGGTCGGTCCGCCAGCAGAAGCGCACCGGTGGTACCGTCACTATGAGCAACCACTTCAATGCCTGGGCCAGGGCCGGTCTCCAGTTGGGCACCCACAACTACCAGATTGTGGCTACTGAGGGTTACCAGAGCAGTGGATCTTCTTCCATCACTGTTTCGGGCCCTTGAGCGATGGAATTGGGAGAGAGATCGGCATGATGCTGGAGTGGAGGGGAGGAATTTGAAGAAGCTGTGGATACCTATCTTGAGGGTATGAACGACTAGTCGGAAGTTGGACATCGGGAAGGAGGGAGACCGGAGAGTAGTAATTCTTCGAGACGCGCGAGTCGCTCTGTCCGGGCAACCAAATCTTGCGGGTTGCGCCCCATTTGACTCCTTCTCCTTTGTGCACTTGATTAGACCAGACCTCACAATCAAGTTCTTCTCTTCTAAAAACCAAACCTTTCTTGAGTAGCACCATCAATCTGAATGCCTTCACCGCTTACATGTTTGTTCTTCGACAGGGCATTTCCACATTCCATATTCAACCAACAACGTCTCGTAGCTTCAAGCACACGCTCAATTTCAAAATATTGTGCATGTGCATGTCCGCTCCAGCATCCCCTGGCGGTGAAAGCGCATCATCCAATGCTTCTACCAGGCCGTTGCAATCAATGCAGACGCTCGGATCTCACGTAACACAGAGAATATGCAGAAAGCAGACGTGCAGACGCCACCTTCATATCTGGCATGATCCTATTGACGCCTCTCTGCCTAGTGCGTCCCACTGCCCATGTCGTGCCTTATGAGATAAATAGCAGCCGTCCCAATCCTGCGAGTTTCTGTCCTACAAATTCCGGATTTCCTTCCATCCTCTTTTAGCCATTTGCGTTCGTTGCCGCAGACGCATGTGTTCCTACGGGCTCCGGGCGATCAAAGCCTTGGGTTTTGTTGACTGGTACCCACACTCCCTTCATACCTTACGATGGCCGCCTTGATTTTTCATTCAGCCGTTCACAGATTTCACAGTCAACGGAAAACGATCCAGCACTGGGTGTCACTTGATACAATACCTGCGCCTACTCTTGGAGTCAGTCAGGTCGGTCGTGCTACAGTGGCTTCTTGCCTCTCATTCCCAAATGGTCGATCTTTCTCAAGATTCCCAGGAAACATCCGGACAGGTTCGACCCATTCCGTCCGAGTCGGTCTCAGAAAACGGTAGCAAGCCGATCCCAGCCCCCACGAACAACCCAAAAGCATGCGTTGGCAGCCCTATTTGTCAATCACGTTTCCTTGACTGGGCAAGCGTCGTGCCTCGCATCATGCCCACGCAAATTAGAACGACGGTGATCCATCCGCGCGCGAGATTTTGATCCGATCGTGGCGGAAGAGGGACGAGAATATCCATGATCGAGGCGATAACATTGAGCGGTCAATCAGGGGAAGTAGCCAGTGGGAGCTTCAACAGGGGAAAAAATATGGTTCAGTTGCGTCTACTCCCGCGACTCAGAAAGGTGTGGAAGACTTGGGAAACCGGGTGTGGTGCGTGTGGTGCGTATACTCCGGGCGTAGAGTCCGCATTGCAGATCTCCGAGTGGACGATGGAAACCCAATGGCCTCACCGAGGAGGGGGCATCACCGGAAGACAACAAAACTGGGCTTCAAAAGACATGGAGAAGGCTAGGTTTGCTTTCCGAGCTCTTTACCGCTCTTTCTGAGTTGTCTTCGGCTGTTGTTCAACATCAGCATTGCTAACCTTGGAAAACAAACATCACGATCTGCAAGAGCTGTCTCTGGATGGGTATTTCGTACTACAAAATGGGAGTGGCAGCACCGAGAAAACCAAGCCATCAAGCAGTGGCACCTCAGCAAGTCTCCGACACTCTTCCAGCTCCAAGCCATCATCAATCCCAGCCCTTTGAGACAAGCTACACGCTTTCTTCTGTGACCGAGACAGCTACCATTTCAAAAGCGGCACCCATCCTCCCGACAAAGCTACTCGCAACACTAGAAACCCCAACCAGTTTCTCGGCCCCCGTGCTTGCAGCAACATCATCGCCATCATCTTCACACAGTTCTGCCATAGCACTTGGCATCGTCTTCGGCGTCTTCTTCGGCACAATCATCTTTTCCTTCATCATTTGGCGTTTCTGCCATCGCGGCTCTTCTACGCCGAAGTCGAAGTCTTCAGCATCCCCTCGGCCATCATCATCAACAGCCAAAGCCATCACCGCCATGCCCGTAAAGTACTTGTCAACCATGCGCTACCCTCAGAGGCCAACACCGGTCCGAGTCAAAAGCGGCGACCGCAAGGAGCGAGCAGTACCACCTGTTAGAGAAGCGGAAAAGGTCCACACAGCACAAGTTAAGGTGCCCGTGGTCAAGGTCATCCAGTCTAATGTCCCTCCACGACCGCCGAGCTCTCAGCGAGACTCCTCCTCTCATCCAGGGTCACATGGGGCTAGACGAACCCACCATCGCCGTGATACTTCCGCCCCTCGACTGCATCCGGGCCGACAAGCAGTGGTCGATGTGTCCAGTCCTGCTGCCGAAAAAGATGATGATGATGATCATGACTTCCATTCGAACGACGAGAGGTCGAGGCATACATGGAACCCAAACTCCACCGACAGGCCACATGCAGCGACCAGGGAAAGAAACCATCATCAAGACAGCCTTTACGATCTACCACCAGTAGTCTACATCGCTGGACGGGCATCCCACGAAAGGAGGAGTCGAAGAAGCCATGAGCGAGAATCACGGGATCCACACGAGCACCGACAGGCAAGGCAAAGCCAAAGACGGGTTAGGAGATCACAACCCGGTAGCGTGAACATTGTTCACGAGTCAGCACCAGCTGTTCACGCCGCCTCCGTGTCAGAACCCGCAGTGCCGACATCGACGAGAAGATATCAGCCGCCGAGGTATGACTCCGGCTCTTCCGTGACAAGTAGCTCAGGCCTGTCGGACAATCTTGGCGAAGAGCCGCCGGCACTGACGCCGTCATCATCGTCGTCTTCTTCAAGTTCATCGGAAGGAAGGGGGAGCTGGTCGCGGCGACGGTCATGGTCACAGAGTCCGGCTAGGGTCAGGTTGACGATCCCTTCAGGGGTGAGCCAGTATTTGGATGATGGTGATGATACCTACTAACAAGAGCTTGGGTTTTGGTTTCCTTTGTTCTTTTTTCCCTTCTTTACATTCGCTTTGTGAGTTTTCCCCGTGTATTATTTCCAACAACAAACACAAGTTTGCCATGCTAAAGCGCAATCGTTAGACAGGCTAAAAGAGGGAGTGATTGATTGATGATGGTTCTCTAGAAGTTGATAGATGGTAGTTACTCACAAAGGGAGAAGTTATACCCAATACGATTGATGCTGGGCAACATTTGATGGATTGTACGAAATGTGATGTTTGTTCGGAACGTGCTCACCATACATCAGTGACTTGCAAACCATATCGCTACTTGCATAAATAAGGTAACTGCTGTATCCTGCATCCCGCCCCGCGCAGACAGAGAGAGGGCATTGCTCTTGCAAGACGAAACAGATATGAAGGAGAAAAAAAAGCGACCATGCCGAAAACGAAGAAGCCCTGCACGAAAACCAAAAAGACATGATGAAAAAGAGGAAAAAAGATATGCCCAATAACAGGATTGAACTGTTGACCTTCGCATGGACTTGATATCTCTCGGTAAGACAAGATATTAGTACGACGCTCTAACCAGCTGAGCTAATCGGGCTTGTGGTTTGTTGGGAGATGCGCTAAGTATTTAATTTGATATCAGCGTGTCACCGTGTGTGTGTGTGCCAAGGAGGGCCTAAGGCGGTCAGTGCGCGCGACTGCGGTTCGAGAGTGCTCAATGCCGAGTTGCAGAGGGCAGATGAATGGGTTCGTCACTTTTGTTGCAACACCACGGACCAAGAGTTATGGACTTCCAAATGAAATAGAGATGCACAAATGGAAGCCATTAAAGCTTATGGACATGCCATTGCGTAGCAGATAAATGTTTTCAGTGTGCAGATACAATCGAGTGAATGGCAAAGGCTCAGGCGTCCAGCACCATAAACAATGGACCTTGCTTGTCCTTTCATGGTTCGTGCACAGATGAACGGTTCATCACTCCTGTCGCACATCACGGACCAGAATTATGGGCGTCCCAAAAAAACATGGACAAGAAGCATTTAAAACCATCCAACTTCATGGATACACCGTTGTATAGCAGACAGATATCTCCAGTGTCTAGATACAATCGAATGAACACAAAAGGTCCATCACATCCTTGTTGGCGCTGAACCTTTGCCATGGCTTGACTGGTCCGTGCGCGAACCACCCTTTACCAGAAGCCCCCTTTTTCGTCATACCCTGAAAGTAAACAATGGAAATCACCTTGAAACATTTGGAAGATTGAAGAGAGAAGAGAGCGCGCGAGCCTCACTGGATCTGGCGTAAATACATGAATTCTGATAGTGTCGGTTGCGCCCTGCTCACACGAACCACCCTTCACTTCCCTTTCTGGCGCTTCTGCCCCTCACCTTTCATCCCATACATTGTAGCCTTGCAGCCTTATGCCTGGAGTCAAGCATGCGCGAAGCTGCACCCCCACTGCCTCGATAAGGCTCTCGGTCCCTCGACAGCCTACCGGAAGGGTGCCGGAGGCCGGAGTGCTGCCAGCTGATAGCGTGATAACCTTCACCTTGAATTTCACATTCACCATGCACTCCAGCAGTCCGGCAGTCCGCTATTATGCAACCTCTGTGCATATCCATGCTTGACCTTGGACATTCACCCCCTCCTCCGGACCTCAGCCAAGCTAAGCTCAGCCTCTTAATGTTTTTCTTGTCGGTGCTTGTCGGTTGGTTGAACTTCTTCCTGCTTCCAATTTCCATTTTCCAACCACACATACAAAAACCCAACTTGCGAAAGTCAACCAACACAATACTTGACTTCCTTTCCCAAATTCCATTTTACAATAACAATAAGATAACAGAATAAGAAACAAACTCAACCCCAAAACCAATCATCTGCAATCATCAGACCAGTCAAGCAACCGACTTCATCAGTCATCCCTCCAAACATCAACATCAATCGCACCCAAAAGACGACAGAATAACGGGACAACAACCGACAAATCGACATGTTCTCCTACCTGACCCAAACAGTCGTCCGCATCGCTACACCCCTCATCTACCCCATCATCGCGCCCATCGTCCGCCCGGCTATCGCGCACGCTGTTGGCTATATCCAGCCTGTCGAAGCCGACTTCGACTTCGACAAAGTTTATCGCGACAACCCCCTGGCCGTCAGCATTACCAAAGTGATCGACAATGTCGACTGCGCCCGGAAGCTGGTTAAGGAGGTCTGCAAGGCGCCTGTTGTCGTCAGTTCTCGCGTTGTTAACAAGTCGATTGATCTGGGCAAACTGCCCTTCGTCGTTTTTTCTCGCGTTGTCGATAACTTTCAGCAGCAGCACATCAGAGCCGTCTGCGAGACGACGCCCTTTGTCGTTACTTCTCGCGTCGTCAAGAAGTCGATTGGCCTGGTTAAACTGTCTTTTATGGTTACTTCTCGCATTATTGTCGACAAGAGCGTCGAGCTGGTGACGACCATGCTGAAGAAGCTAAAGAGCCTTCGTGACGAGCCCATTGCTGTCGCTAGCCAGGTTGTCAAAGATGTCGCTGGAGTCGTTAAGCACTTTATGCCGACTTTCTTGTTGAAGTACGTTCCGACTCAGACTCTTATCACATCGATATCAGCAATCCCCAGGCGGGTACTAACCTCGTATAGCACCATCAGGACCTACATTGGTACCGGAAAAGCCACCAGCCCTGCCGAACGATGGTGGATCAGACCCGACGAGGCCAAGTTGAAGGCCTGGCTCTCAGTCGACAATGCCCGCGCGTCTTCCTTCGTCAGGCCCAGCACCCCCGCCAAGGGCACGCCCTCCTCTGCGTACCCTTCCCCTCCTCCTCCAAGCATTGTGGATTTCCCTCCCAGCGCTTACTCGCCTGATATCGAAGCCTCTCAGGGTTCAGAGAACACGATCTCTTCCCTCGACCTCGGCAGCACCATCTCCTCTCTGAACCTTGGCGAGTCACTTGACTCCCCCCTTACCAGTCAGGCGGACCCCATTTCTCTCACCGACGACAACGACGATGACGTAGACTCGGATTCGGATTACGCAAGCGACACAGCCTCCATCGCTACCTCCCTCAAAGTCCATACTGGTAGTACTCCCTACCATGATTTGGGCCCTTCGGAGATTACGCTTCTGTTGTCTCAGAGATACGGCTCCGTCTCTTCCTTCGAGGCCTGCCCGCCTAGTTTTCCCGTCAATAACGAATTGACTGCTCCATCCAACATTTTGCTTCCAACCCCTCCCTCGCCTCCCTGTTCGTCCGAGTTTTCCGAAATCGCCCTTCCGAACTATTCCCCTACCTACGGAGGCGGCTCCAACAATACCAACACCCCAGACCCCGAGAGATTTTCAGAAAACGAAGAAGACGCAGTCAGCCGGGCTAGGGCCATCGCCTTCCGTCCTGACCATGAGGAGACGGACCGCCTCGATAGCTCACTGGAGCAAATCCCTCAGTAGGATGAGGGTTGCCCAGCTGAGCTTGTCGATGGCGTGGTGCAGACGCCTTTTGGATCCGACAACAAGGGTTTGGAGGTCGACAGAGAAGCTCGGGTGGGAAGCGAGGAGTCTGAGATTGAGGACGGGATGGAGGAACCGTTCGAGACTGAAGAGGTAAAGGAGCAAGGAGGAGAGCCGGTTAACGAGGCCAAAATCCAGGAGGAGGCTCCTGTCGAGCCCCAGGACTTGGAGAACCCGGCTGAGCTCGCTCGTCCTGTCATCGTAACCTTGCAGCCGACCAGCACTCCCGCCAATATTACCGACAATGCCAGCACAGTCAAGCCCGTCAACGTGTTGTCTCACCAAGGGGAGGACGTCACCGCCAATATATCCCTCCCTCCCACACAGCCCCAAGAGGCAGAGGAGGCGGAAGGTCCCATCAGCGACACCGAGACCGTCTACCCAGAAGCTGGCAACCTTGAGCCCTACGTCTTCAACTGGGCCGACTACGCCTTCATCGACGAAACGGGCCACCTCGACACCTACAAGCGTGTCGAAGACGCCAAATTCGATCCCACCAAACAGCACCTCCACCGCTGCCACTGGATTGGCGTCATCGAAGTCGATAAGCCCAAGCAGACCATCACGCGCTACCTGGGCCCCGTCGACTCCTCCGGTCAACAACCCTCTCTTCCCGTCCCGGAGCTGACCCTCACCACACCCGAAGGCGAAACTTGGTGGCTCGACGACCCGCTGCCTTGGGGCCGTTTGTGCATGAACAGGCAGTGGCTCAGCCAGAGCTTTGTCGATGAGAATGGATACATGGATACGTGGAGAAGAGTGGTGGATGAGGAGCGGAGGGAGCTGGTGGAGAGGGGGCAGCTCAGGTTGCAGAGGGATAATTGGGTTTTGTTGAAGTGTCCGCCGCTGGAGATAAAGCCCGAGGGCGTTCCCCAGTTGACGGTTACGGTGGCGGGGGGAGCGACGTTTTATTTGGATGAGCCGAGGAGTTGGGCCGATTTGGATGATGATGATGATGAGGATTGGTAGGAGAAGGATATTGAGGAATTTGAGGTGGTTGAAGGGGAAGCGATATATGAAATTGGAGACTTTGCGACGAAAAGAAAAGGAAAGGAAAAAAAAACATGGAAAAGAGGAAAACACCAAAAAAGGATGAAAACGTATATAGCAATGCCCGTTATGAAGCGAAACAGATTGTAGCAGACATGAATAGGCAACATCGAAAACATAAAGACTGAGCAACAAAGGCCGACATCTTGAGTTCCACTTGCAATAATGTGACGTGACATGTAGTATGATCTGACACAGTGATGTGCGGATAGGAGGAAGCTTTTCTGCCTGTAGGTAACGAGAAGGAAGTAGAACAGACAGTGGCCTAGATGAAAAAAGGAGCCATCTATTTGAAGGGGGCCTTGCTGATCCTGGTATTATAAGGGCCGAAGACGAGCATTTCCAGGTTGACATGTTTGGCTCGAAAATGCCTGGTGTTCTTTTGGATGGAAAGGTGGTGACCAACCGCTCATTACACTTTCCCAAAGTCTTCAATTTCCAGAGGTCCGGGTACATGCTTCAGTAGAATTGGAAGGTATCCACTTGGCAGGGCTCACCGCCTGCACTTTGGCTTCCACTTTGGCTGGGTTGATACTGCTGAAGTTATGATGATGGATAGCTGTGGGGGGCTTCGGTTTCCCTGGCACGGGGTCGCGACCAACCCGCCCGCAGCATGGACTTTCCCGCCCAAACCCCGTCCTGTCTATTGGATGTTCATCCCTTCCTTTGCGACCACCTCGCTTGGGCAATTGAATCAAGCGAGTGGAACAATCGAACTTCTCCATCAAGTCGTCGACGGCAGATTCCCGTACCATGCTCGCAATGTCGTGGCAATCGCGCCTACCCCGCCACTGGCTGGCAACCCAGATCAGCCCACGGGCAGTACATGATGGCATTCCTTGCACGCCCGTCACAAGCACCACTTCGAAGTCGCCATATCCAAACAACACCAACCATCGATACCATTTTCCGCCGCAGGTCACCGCGCCGGCTCTCTTTTGGGCATCATCTTGAGCCTAGCAGCCGTTACAACTATCATTAGCTACCGCTATACACTCATTACCAGTATTACGACCATCAAGACCAAGACCCTCTTC